GAAGACCCGTCATTGGATTTATCTGCGATTATCCGCCATGAGATTGATCATTATATGGGTCAACCTCCTTCTCCTGAACTTGCTGCACTTCTTCCTGAACAAGCCGAACCTGTTCGGGCTGACGAGGATCTTGATATCCTTTTTTCCACCACCAGATTTTGCCATGTCTTCATATGCCCCCATCTGTAGAAACAGCTAGGGCTAATATGGCATTTTTAGACATGATTTCTCAGGTATATGATGTTTAGTCCATTTCCTCAATATCCTATGATCCCCATTCTTCTTTGTTGCACAATAGTTCTTCATCTCAGTATTTGGTTTTACCACACTCCCTGAATATTAGGGTTTATGTTGAGCAATTTGTTTCACAATTGTTAGAAGATGCCAGCATGCCTCACCCTCCATGAGCTACAGAGCAGTTTGCATTAGCATACCATCAGGCTGACTGTCAGCAGTTGGGGTCGATTTTACCCATGTGGGGATGGTCCCTGATTTTCCTGTTTATTTATCTCATGCATAGTTTTCCCACCTTCATCTTACCCGTACTTCCCATCTACAGTATGTATCTACTATCCATCTCCTTTCTGAGGCAAACCACAGAGATCCAAAGAGTTTTTTGAGGGAAAGCCTCACCCTAATTACCCTCACGTTGGCTTGTTTGTCGTCTTTGGCTCTCGCTTTACACATGTGGTTTCTCTATTGTTGGAATCACCTGTATTAAGACGGGGCCTTGTCCCAGGTTCGTTTACTGTCCCCCTCCCTTATCTTAGGGATTTATGAATTGCCTCATCTCTTTGGTGGTATGTTTTTGATGATGATGATGTACCTGAGACTTTGGAATCACATGTAGAGTCTGTGCATCCACACTCTACCCTTTCCTCTTTGGTTGCACATTTATCACAGTCAGAGCTGAAACAAACCCCTAATTATGTTTCTCATCCTAGTCTTTCTCAGCCTTTACCTGTTCATCCATCCAGCGGTTCTTCATCTCGTCATATTATTCGATGTAGTTGGGCACGTTGCCAACAGTACTGGTGGATGCATTTCTTCTACATACATCATCCACCTCGGAGGGCCGTCCTTCTAGATTGGGATGTTAATGTGAGCCTTCACTGCCTCTCTTTGCCTCCATTCTAACCACCCTCCATGTGCTCCTTGTTTCACCTTTCAATTAAGACATATTTCCTTCTACTCTTAGCCTGAAGACATCGGAGGTCAGATTTATTTGCCATTAATGTTTCACATACTCTTTATCATTCCACATATATTCTCCTCTATCTGGATCATTCTTTCCACCTCAAAACTTTGGCAGCTTGAGAGGTAACTCCTCCTTTTTGCCAACGTCACTTCCTTTCATTTCCGACTGTTATCCTTTGTCTGATCTGGATAGACTTCTGTGTCCTGTACGTGCTCTTCGCTGTTGTATTGCCCACATGGTTTCCTTCTGTGGTGCCCATTCCTGCCTCTTTATTCCTTGTCTTACATCCACTGTTCGTGATCTTTCTCCTTCCACCCTCACCAGTTGTGTTCGGCTTTTAATTCAATTGGCTTATTCTTCTTTATCATCTTCCTCCCGTAATTTGTTCTGGGTGTCTTCTCATCAAATATGACACCTTACTTTTTCATTGGCATCTCATCTTTGTTGTCCTTTGAAGGAAATTCTGCTATCGGGCATGTGGACTACCCCTCATACATTTGTCTTTTACTATTTGCATAGGATCGCAGAATCTTCCTATTTGGGTTATTGTCTTCCACCTGTAGCCATTCTTCAGACTTCAGTGAGACTTTGACTGGGTAAGTTATATTTTATTACTCTTTTTTTCAGAGGCCTTGTCTGAATCCTGCTCTGTGGTGAGTGGTGCCTGACCGGGTATTCTTTGATCATTCATATTTGCACTGTAAGACCATATGAACCTACATATCATAATTCCATGACCACGCAACGCACACTGTGAAGATGGGGTGTTCCACAAGATCGCTTGTAGGTTTATCCTCGCAATAAGTTTGGTTCATAAGTTTGCCCATCCCAGACCATACTCATCTATGGACTACATGGATAAAGTAGAAGGTCATAGCTGCTCATCCCTGCATGCCTTGTATTTCGTGGTCACCCATTGCACTGTCTCCTGTGTTGTCATTCCTCTGGACTCTCCGCTGTGCTTTCTCTCCCTTTTTCTTCTAGTGGAGTTAGAGAGTCCTTACTATTTTCCAGTTCAAAGCGACTGGGGTGGTGGACCATGGAGGCATCCTCCTGTATGTGTTAATCAGATATAAATAATACATATAAATGATTATAAATCCATTCAGTAAGGAATAGGGCAATGGTGTTCTGATGGTGTAGATGATTGGATATCCTTCACTATGTAAAATGGGAGTGAGCCATCAAAATTGCACTTCACCCCTTTGGTTGGGATCGCTCATCCTACCCCCATATGATAGTGCACTCTCTGAGATATATACAACATTTGTGTGACCTCTCCCACACTGTGTGTATGTTGTTTTCTAAAAAAAATATTTTTTTTTAGTTTAAGGATGTGGAGCCATCTATAAATGTAGTTAATGTCAACTTATGCCAAAGATAATAAATTCTCAATAACAGCAATAATACTGTTGGCTTTACTGTTATGATTTTTCATTTTGTTATAGAGCTACTTGTGTCTTTTCCATAGATACAAGGTAATTACATGTAGTAGTCTCTGTAAAGTCAAGTTTGAAAACCTGTCAATATTGAATAACCCAAATTTTTGTATACTATATGAATATATTCATGTAAAGCTGAACACTGAATAATATGCTTATAGTTGTATATATTAGTATATAACAAAAAACATAACATAATGTTTTGGGACAACATGGGACCTATTGATCCGTCTCGGCTGTTTCATCCTCTAAACTAAACTAAAACTTAATAGATAAATTTTAAGTAAAATCTTAAAGCCAGCCCTTATCATTCATATACTTATAAAGCTTTCTCTTAAACTCACTTGAATTCACTGCCTCTACAACATCCGAAGGCAACCCCTGTTAGAAAAATGAAACTGTCTTAGCTGAAGATGACTCCTTCCTTGCCAAAATTTATATTTATGTTCCCTAGTTCTACTATTCTTACTGTTAAATATGAAAAAAGATGATGCATCAATGCTACCAATTCCCCTTACAATCTTAAACACCTCAATCAGATACCCCCTAAGATTTTCTTTTTTTTTTTTCTAAGAGAAAACAATCTGAGAGATTTCAGCCTCTGCTTGTATGACAGCCCCTCCATCCTAGGCACCATTCTAGTAACCATTGAATTGTTGGAAAGGGTTCAGAGAATGTCTTTCCTAAGGTAAAGAACCCAAGACTGAACACAATATTCCA